ATGGGAACGTGCATTCCATAAGGGAAAGCATCAAGCCCACAATACCTAGAATAGTGGTGTTGGTATTTAACTGTTCTATCTTTAGATTTATATGGACAATCCCCCGCAAGCTTCTTGTAGCAATACAGCAATGCAGTCAAAGAAAAAAGGGTAGCAGGGCTCACCCTCTCCATTTCCATGCCCCCAAACCAGTCAATTATACCTGCGCCACTTCAGAAAGATATTTCTCTCACCTGGCCTCCAGTGACAGACATGCCACAACATCCCTCGCCCGAGTACTCACTGAGTCCCTGTCCTAGCGCTTAAAAACATTTTTCCTACACGTAACTCACATAAGGGGCACTTCTGCATGGCTCATCCTGACGACTCCATCCTCAGCCATGCAGGTACCTCCAAGGATTTCTGCAAAAGGCAGCTGCGAGATGAAGCCCTCCCAGTGACTGATGCACGTCCCTGCTCTGCCCCATCGCTTCTCCCGTCTCCTCCCTCCCTGAGCCCCACAGCCCCTGTGTCCCCAGCGCGGGGAGCAGGACTGGTAATTGGAAAGGAGAATTGCAAAGCACCAAAGCTTATCAACAGGCAGCAGGGGAGAGTTCAGCAGCCCTCCGTGGGGGCCCGGCCCGAGGGCTGGTATGGGTTGGCAGCCTTTCGTTTGGCGGCACGGGGCGGACACGTGCGGCTGCTCCACTCAGAGTGGGCACCGCTGCAGTTGAAGTGGGGGTACGGCTCCCCCACCCGGGGCGGCCCCCCCCTCTGCCCGGGCGCGGGGGCGCACCTGCGGTTGAGTTGGGGGGCCGCCTGCCCAGCCGGTGCAGCCTCCCCTTTCTGCCAGGGCTGGTGAGACCACGGAGAGCAGCGTGGGAGTGGGAAACTGGCACAGCTCAGGGCGCCCACACTCCCCAGGTGTTTTCAGGGTAGCCTTAGGGATGGCTTCTTGGCCTCTGAAGTGCCACCAAGCGTCGTCACTATGCACACAGAAGTAGCAGCTATTTTCTCATATCTCTTTTACTCATTAACTGAATAGTCTAAATATAGCCCTGACTAGCACTAGCAAGAGATGGTGGGTGCCTCTGTGGCCGGGTCTTTGCTGCCTGCCTACCTGCAGCGCTGGTTTTCTTCACCAGATCCTTCACTTTGCCAGTGCCACGTCAGGTGCCCTCTGCTCTCAGCCCTGGGGTGGACATAATTTACATTACAGGTTGCTACCACGTGCGCAGGAAAAGCATGCAGCCCCAGGAACAGAGCCAGCTCCTCCTGTGCTCCTGCCAGCCCGCCATGCCCTGTGCAGTCCTCCCCTCCATCCCTGCACCAGCTCCTGACCAGATGATATCGCTCCTGTCTGCATGTATCAGAAGGCAAGCTGAAATGTGAAGGAGTCTTGAGTGAGTAGCAGACCATTGCGTGACATCTACGTTTGGGAGCTGAGGAAGTCTGGGCTGAACGTCTGTTGGATGGTCCGATGCCTGTTAGGTGATTTGACAATTGCTTGGGCCATGGGGCTCGAAGGACAGTTATCAACGTCCTGATGCTCGGTTGGCAGCTGCTAACAAGCAAAGTGCCCCAGGGGTTGATACTGGTGCCAGTATCATTCCTTATTCTCATCAAAGACCTGAATGAGGAGGCAAAATGCAAATCCGTAAATGTATCATCCTCAAACAAATCTGCGGATGGTACTAAACTAAGGGAGTGGCTGAGAAGCCAAATGGTAGAGCATCAATAAATGGACCTCAAAAACCTAAGGACTGTACCAGCAGAAACCCCATGAAGTTCAACAAGAAGACATGAAAAGTTCTGTGACTAGGACCCCAAGCTGAGCAGTAAAAGCTCTGCTGAAAAGGACCTGGGGGTTGTGGTGGATGACATGAGGAATATGAGACTACAGTAGGATCCCATTGCAAATAACTGCAAATTGCATGCTCAGCGGTGCTGGGAGGAGGGTAGCCAGCAGCTTGGACTCGTGCATGGCATTGGTAAGTCTGCGCCTGGAGTACAGTGTGCTCTTTAGGGACACCCCCTTCGAGGGGGATATGAAAAACCTGTGCTCCGGGGTCTGGAGCACAGGTGTGATGTGAGAGAGGTGGAGGGATCTGGGCTCACTTTGCCTGGTGAAGAGAAACCCAAAGGGTGACGGCACAGCAGCCTGCAGCTGCCTGAAGAGCAGGTACAAAGATGAGAGCCAAATTCTTCTTGGTGGTACCAGAGGACGTAACAACAGGCAACGGCCACACACAGCAGACGGGGAGGTTCAGACTGGCCATTAGGAAAGCCTTCTCCACCAGGTGCTCCAGAGAGGTGGTGGCAGCTCCTTCCTTGGAGGCTTTTCACGACTTGGCTAGATAAAGGCACAGCTGATCTAATGGTATAACATTGGTGGTAGTCCTGTTTTGAGTGGGGTGATCTCCAGGGTCCCATCCAACCAACATTTCTGTGATTCTATGATCTCATTTCATTATGTAAAATTTATCAGTTTAGGTACTGGCCTACTACACTAGCATGGATGAAATTCCAGAGAAGTTGCAGACAATCAATGCAACACTCCACAGATGAGTAGACACATAACCTGCTGCAATCCAAACATGTCACCCAACTCAGAGCAATGAATTCACAGGTTGCATATTCAGCTGCATGTATTTTCCATTCAGCCAGATCACACGAATATATAACAATGTCCTTTATGAAGCCTTTCCCACTGCACCAGAGGTGCCAAGGCACTAGCAGACTCAGCTGTTGATTGTCTGTAATTGCTTCCAGATTCACCATCCTTGGCAGGCCAGGCCACCAAATTGCTCTTTTTTTTTTTGGCTTGCAAAAATCCTGGAGCACACAACATGCCCCAACCACAAATACAGCACTAAGAGGCACTACACTGCATAGGAATCCATAGACTGCCCTGTCGTATCTGTTGTCAGCCCCCCAGACTACCACTCTGCACTCACTCATCTATATGAAGGGGAACAGTATAGAAACTCATACCATATACTGGCCAGTGCACTCAGTTTGAGTATCTGTGAATACAGCCATAGCACTGTGTAACATCAGAATAGCAATCACCATTTCCACAATTAAATTTTCTATTATTTTAGTTTAGGACAACAAGTGTTCTGCACATTACAAAGTCATACTATTTAGGAGACCACCTAATCTGAAAAAAAAAAAAAACAAAACAAAACAAAAAAAAACCCTGACTTGCAAAAATCTTGGCCCTGGCAGATTTTGGATCGTGTTAGCTTTCCATTTTCTCAGTGGCAATGCTCTGTATTCCGGCTCATCCAAATCTGAGAGCGGCAAATGAACACCTCTTGCTGAGCAGTGCAAAGTAACCTTTGCAGACCTGCTCACCATGTAGGAGCGTTTATAGATTATTTTCATTGTAAGTATCCTGAGATTCGCCTTGTTAGCAAACTAACACGTCAGGCGAGATTCTTTTCGCTACACCCTCTATTTTCTGCTCCTGCATGTCTGTGCAGTGATCATGTATAGCATGGCAAGTGATTCTCCCAGGAAATGCACTGTAATTTCCAGAGAGAAAAGGTTACCGAGAGAGCCATCGTCTTTTCACCAGAACTTCCCAAGCATTTCTGTCTTTTGTTTATGTGAATAACATGCACGAATTTTTTCATATCTGATCAACCTTCCTCCCAACAACAATAAATCAAAAAGGCAACTTTGTGTTTATCTGTAATCTGCGTGATCTTATTATCTTTGGCGGGGTGTGGAAGACATAAATCAGAATGTAATTTGAGATTTCCAGAATTCCCCTAGTTTACAATGAATTGCTAACACAGAATAACAGAGATAATAATTCTCCTAGCTGATGTTTTATATCAATTTTTGACATGCTAATCTCATTAATTGTTATTTTAATTAAATTTTAGAGTACCCTCCGTCCTGTTACTGATTGGGACACATTAACAAAAATTTTCAGCGCATGTGAAGTAATGGCTGGGACAGGTTCTCAAAGGAGATCTCATACAAAAATCAATAGGAGGACCCCTCGCCCCTGCTGCACTCCTTTCCCTGAATTATCTAAGCACTCCTAAGAAATCACTTTGCAAAGGGCAACCTAAGAAAAGAGTTTAGTTGCAAATGAGGGCAAATAACATAATTAAACCAGTTTGCGGGTGGGAGCTGGCAAAACTGCCTATTGTAGTCTACCCATTAGAAAAATGCGCCTCTTGATTTTTTGTTAATCATTCAAATTTGGCTACTTAGAGACCCCACCCTCTAGAATATAAAAGGGAACTTCATTACGGGAGGAGTTGCAGCAGGTTTGCTTGCTTTTCTCCCTCATCTGAGAAAACAAAAAGTTTCATGCAAAGGGTCTTAATATTTTTGTCGGCATAGGGCAGGTTTGTATTTACTGATCTGGCAAATCAGGTTCTATTTACAGTCACACACCGTTGCTATGAAGACAAAGGCAAAGGCATTTGCATGAAGCTACAACACTAGATGTGTAATATTCTGTTGGGGTTTTTTTATTTATTTTGGATCTTTTGTTATTCTCAGAGGAAAAAAAGTTACCCCATTTTGTGCCTTCTTCCCTCTCCACACCTCATTCTTCCTCTTCTGTTTTCCACACGCTTACCCGATCCCTTGCCTTCTTTTTTACCCTGCTTTATAGTAGTTTAATGTTCGCCCATGAGAGAGTCATATGAGACAACGTTAGAAGGTTTCCTTGTACTACCTGCCTGCAAGCCACCTTTTACACCATCTTTTTGACTGTTTGGTCATCTTCCTAGGTGGCCACACTGGCCTCTCCCCGTTCTTGCTGCGAGCCTCCTGCATCAGGGCGGTTTTTCATCGTGTCTTCGGCACCTCTTTCAGGAGCCGACAGTTCTCCCAGGCTCCCTTTCCCATTAAAATTCCTTTCCACAAGACTGCATTTACCAATTCTTTGAGTGGGTTGAAGTCTTCTGGTTTAAGTTCATTAGTCCATTGCTTTCGCTCCCTCCTCTTCTGAAACTTGAGAGCTCTGCCGATTTGTGATCTTTTCCACCCAGATCGCCTTCCTCCAGCAACAGCATCTCAACCAGTTTTCCCACGTTAACCAGCAGCAAAACGCCAGCCAGCAGGTACAGCTGCATACGCCTCACGTCACTGAAACAAAAAGCCGCTCTTTATCCCCAAAACGTCAGGGATGGGCTACAAGGTGCGGTCGCCTCCCAAACACATATCTAGGACAGAGTTTCTGCTGCCGTCGGATGTACCCTACAGGAGGTATAGGCATCACTTCCCCGTGTCCCCTGCTGCACGCAGGGACCTGGTTCAAGGTATCAGCTCGCTGCGGCTGAAGCGGGATGCCTGCGGCTCTGCAATCAGCCTTCTAGTCTCCATGCAAGCAATTCCCTTAGGAGCTGGGAATCACCTCAAATGCTTCGGCTCTGTGTTGTCCCCCGCTCCCACAAGCCCTAGGATGTAATTGGCTGGAAAGAGATGGGTCTGTGACCTTTAAAGCTGTGTCGACATCCTCATCCCTGAATCAACGGGCTTCTTTCCCCAGTAACAGGCAGTCAAACGTTCAGATGTGGTTGCTGATTTTGCACGGTTCTCATCTTGGATGCTGAATTTCTCTCTGAAGTCAAAGGAAGTGTCATCAGGCGCCCAGCAACACTGAAAGTCACATGAAGGTTGTCTTAAGAAAGGGCAACAAAAAAACCCCAAACAAACCCCCACAAAAATCAAGGCATATAAATCTGAAATGCAGACTTCAGAAAAACAGGAAACAAGAATTTTTACCTGGATTTCTCCAGAAACAGCCACTATAAGTCTGTTAGGCTCAAGATCAAGAAAATTATCATTTAGTTTTACCCACATAATCTTACATAGTATTTTACACATAATATTATTCACCATAATTTTTCACTTCTAATTGTGAAGTTCTTTTATTTTTTTTACTTCTAAGTGTAAAGCTTAAAAGACCTAAGTAAAGCTCTTTTCAGTGTCAAATTCCCCCCGAATTAGAGGACGGAGTGCACTGAATTACCATTATTGTTTCATAGAATCATAGAATCGTCAAGGTTGGAAAAGACCCTTAAGATCATCGAGTCCAACCATTAACCTAGCACTGCCGAGCCCATCACTATACCATGTCCTTGAGCACCACATCTATCCGTTCTTTAAATAC